GTCGCGCCGCGCGCCCTTGCTAGTCATCCGCATAAGATAAGATGGCCTAAAAATCAGTTGATTGGAGAGGCTAAATCAACCGGTTGAGGTTTAGCAATTCTGTATGCTTTTTATGTGCAGGGAACCTACTCATTTCACCACCATTTTCTGAATCCTGATGAGAATTTGAGACGTTCTCAGGACTTGCCCGCTCCCTTAATTCAACCAATCTGTAAATGGGCCTCCAATGCTGCGGGATACTACTCCTCTGCCTAACAAAAAGTATAGTTCCTACTTTGTATTAGACAATTAATCTTAAATTTGAATAAAGATATGTAAAAATCACTAATATTTATGATGTATCATGAATTTCATTACATTAATTATAATTTTTTTTTGAAAAATATTAATAGTTTTTTCTATAAATGTACTTAAATCTAAGAAAGTTTAAACTAATTAGTTCAAACGTAGCACGATTGCTTATAAGCTCCGTTTGGTATAGTTCAGTAGTGAACCAGCTGTTTATAGCTTAAGCTCCACGAGCAGCTCTAGCGGTGGAGTAAAATTGTTTTTGGTAAACTGTTAGGCAAAATTGTTCTATACGTGTAAATTCTTAAAATATATTCTCACAAATCAAATCTCTGCCATGTAGGGGCTTATTTTCAACTTAATCCCGCATCCATCTTTCGTAATAGCATATATAAAGGAAACTACAGAAGTGTTTAAAAATATTCATTCCGTTCCAAATTATAAGCTGCTTTGAATTTCTTCATCTATTTTTCTATATATCTAGACATATTATTATCCAGATACATAATAAAAAAGTCAAAACAACTTATAATTTGAAATGAATGGAGTACTTGTGTGACACAAGGAAAAGCTGCAACAACAACAACAAAGCCTGTCAGTCTCAAGCAAGTTAGAGTAGTCAGAGTTATAAACCCACTAGGAGCCCCCTGGTCATGGTTCAGACATATCAATAACTGTTTTTCAAATACTCCTATTCAAATATACATCTTTAAGCATATTCTAAGCTTTCAAATATCTTTTTACTACTTCCCCACATAAATTTCGATCTTTCTCTATCTCTCCTCACATTATTAGTTTGGCACACGGGGAAAAACCGCGCCAAAAAAACAGTAGGAAACCATCCAGTAAGGGTCTGTTTGGATTGGAGTTTTTTCATAGGATTTTCAGAGGAACGAGATTCCTTCATTTTACTTACGTCACCCTATGTTTAGAATGGAGGAATACGTCACCCTCCATTTTGAAAAGAAAAACGATGTCCATGTGTTTTATGCTTTTATTTTTGAGAAAAATTTACCGGCAGTCTTCAAAATTGTCTGAATGTACGATCTAGACCCATAAAACACGTGGGCACGCCACAAGCGCCCACAAGGTAGTTCAAAGTGGGGGCAAATCTTGATTCAATATTTTATATAGTCTGTTTAACCAAATTCAGAGGTAACTAGCAAATGCCTGTGCGTTGCTACGGAAGTCAAAATTTTATAACGCAACAAGAGTACGAAAAAAGTGGGTCAAAATCAATAGATAAATAAATAGTTCTAAGGCTGTTGCTGTATTTTTATCTATCATGAATGGGTCCCTAAGGTAACAGAAATTCAGCCTAAGGTATTAAGTTGTAAGCCTGTGCTGCTGTATCTCTGAGTCTCATCCCCTTTGCATGGCTGTAGCATCTTAGATTAAAATTCAAAAGAAAAACCATACATGTACATTGATGGTTTTCAGGTAGAATGCAGTTCTAAAACATCCCAGCTTGACCAGCTCCTGTCCTGATCAAAGGCTGAATCGTTTCCTACTTAGCATATTTTTCTACTCCATCTGAACCAAAAGATAATAGGTTATCAGAGATAATAAGATAACCAATGATGAGACGTACATAGCCAGTTCTACCTTACTTTTATTTACCTTTGATTGCGTCCTACTCTTGTCAAAAGCAAAATTCTCCAGCGAATCCAGTCCTTTGTTTTCAACATCATGGATCTCATACTCTGATGCTAATACCTTTTCATTTGGATAATTTCAAGGCCTACTGCCCTGACCACATCATATATATAGTTAAGCTAATGTAAAATAACATCACACATTGGTTTAGTTATAGAAGATTCAAGTGATAAAAAATTCTACTGGAGCAGAAAGTTGTACAGAAGATCCATGTGATAAAAAAAAATCTACTGAAACAGAAAATTAGTAATGGTGTCAACCACACAATCTGGCTCCTCCAAAAAACAGCTCTACAAATCCTAACTCGTCCCCTAGTAAAGCTGAAGCCCCTTCTGGAGCCATACCAAATAACACAAGGAATTGATTAGTGTGCTAAAAAACCGAGAATTGATCCCTATTTGCTTGACTGCAAGGAGTAATATAACAAATTAGTTCAAACCTATCAATAGCATGGTAATTGATCTTTCTTCTTATAAAAATGAAAATGATGCATGCAATTGCAGAAACCATCTAAGTTACTCTGTTACTTTAAATTTGATTTGTCGTGTGTTGAACAAAGAAAACAGATACCGAGACTCATGCGTGAGAGTGCACTGGCTACATCTGATACCAATCTAATTTAAAATTCTGAACTTGAAGCAATTCAAAGCTACAAGTTAAAAGCTTTGAATATGAAAGGGGCAAACAATACGTGTAAAAGAGAATCAGTTAAATGATAGCATAACACATGCTGCTCAGGATAGTAGTTAAAAGCTCTGCGCATGACAAATGATAGTATCACACATGTTGCTCAAGCTATCCTGCTTCTTCCTGATGCTCAAAATTGAATAATCTTTGTGTTGCAGATTTTATTCCTACTTGTCAGAGTTCTCACTTGTTCGTCTATTGATTTGAGCATTACAAGCATAGTGGAAATTCTATAGAGAACGACAAAAGCTCCCATTAACTGCTATAGTTCCCTAACCTTCTACAATTAAAAGGGCAATAGGTTCACATACACATAGACCGAAGTTTTCAGTACTATTCTTCAATTTGGCAGGTAGAATCAGATGCCTATGCAGGCATAGACTCTGTCGGCATCAAATATTGAAAGCAAAATCCAGTCGTGCTTGGTGCCTTCTGAAGAGTAATCTCATTGAGCAAAGCAAAATCCAGTACCCATAAAAGCTTCTGTAGTAGCTGAAAATAGGTTCCACTCCGCACGGGCATTAAAAAGGAAACAATTGGATGAGGTTAGGGGAGGGGTGAGACGCAGCTTACCGGCCAGGGGCTCGAAACCTAACCCTAGATATTGCAGGTCACAGCCGCGGGGAGAGGGCGCGCTTCTTCGGCTGCTCGGAGCTCCTTCAACGGTCCTTCTCCTTCGCAGCCAAGCAGGGAAGGGCGTGGTGGGGCGACAGCTTCGCGGGATGTGGTTGGGCGACGGCGGCGCGACGTCGGAGTGGACCGCACGGGCCCTCGCGGTGGTGGAGTGGACCGCACGGCCCTTGCGGCGTCGAGGCTGCGGAGTGGAGGGCAGGCGCCCTTGCGGCGTCGGGCGGTGCGCTTGGGAGGAGGGCGTGTGGGAGCTGGGAGGATGCCGGATGCGGGAGGAGAATAGATTGGGGCGGCGTCGTGCTGAGTGGCAACGGGTACGTAACCGATGGTTACCGGCCATCCGTACCCGCACTCGGATCAAAACTTTACTTATCGGGTTACCCGTACTCGTAGACGGGTAGAAAATTCATTCCATACCCGCATCCGACGGGTAATTCTTACCCGACAGGTAATTCTTACCCGACAATATACCCGAGTTTACGCACCAAAATATAATAGTTTCCAGCAAAACAAATCAACAATAGAGCAGCAAAATAGAAATATGGGCTGATGGAGTGGAGTGAGGATGAGGATTAAGATTTGAGGAAGTTCTAGAATATATATACTCATATGCTTATATGTGCCAAATATGGGTTATATGCTTATATGAGCTAAAATTGTAGAGGTTGGATATTATTTATGCGGGTTTTTTTTACCCACGGGTATGCAGGTATGGATAGTATACACCCACACCCGTACCCGCATACCCGATGGGTACAAGAATTCGTCCAATAACGTACCCGTGGGTGTAAAATGTCTTCTATACCCGTCTCCTTATCGGGTAAAACCCGTCGGGTACTTAGGTTTCGGGTACCCGTTGCCATCTTGACTGTGTGGGAGTCGCTGGGTCGAGCGCGTGGCCCACCTGTCGGCGCAAGATTGAGTTATGGAGATGCGCCTGACGCAGCGGCTTCACCACGAGGAGTGAACGGGTCCTGTTTCATCTTGTTAGGACTAGAGATTAAAATCTCTAATTGTCCTTTAGCCTTTGCTCAATTTGTTGATATGTATTTTTTGCTTAGACATATATCCAATATTGAAATCATGAGTCTGCCACTGTGTACTATACAAGAGCTGTGTAGCAATTGCTCCCCCTAAAACAGGAAAGCCTTTTCGATTGCTTGATATGTATGAGGTCCTGGACTGGATGATCTTCTCCCTGAAGCTGATTCCTTGTTTGAATCAGGATATGATAATGTCCTGTTCGCTTGTCTTATAATCAGTATTTTTTTTGTTTATCTTTTTAGCTAGAATAGTATTTTTCTCTCACAACAAATTAGTTGGAACAGTGTTTCAATTTATTTTTTCAGCAAAACGAACGGGCCTTGATTCATGATTCATGAAGCACTACACTGCAATTGGGAGAATTTGCAAGGAAGACATGCAAAATTCAAGTATGTCATCCAATCGTACACTTCATTCAGGGCAGTGGCTCGTGAAAAGTGCATCCACTTCCACTTATATATATATATATAAAGGCTCTCATAGCATACAATAAGGCTGTGTTTGGTGCGGCTCCACGAGGCTCCAGCTCTACAACTGTATAGACACTGTAGCGGAGCCAGGAGGAGCCTCTAAACAGCAGCTTCTCTGGCTCGTCTCTTGGGTCTGCTGGATGCGGAGCCCTATTTTTTAACCAGCACAGTTTATATACAGCATGTAACAGTGTGTAGGGAGCCGGAGCTTGAAGAGCTGCACCAATGCCTAAAACTCTTGATTCACTTCTCAAGCACACGGATCGAAGATACCTGGCTTCTGACAGTCAGTTGATGGCAAAATCATATCCTAATTTATGGCAGCAGCTAGCGTTGCATCTACAGCTGTTGCTGCAGTTTTGGAGGCAAATCTTGAAGCTGCCTCTCGCTCTAGAATGTACAAGAGATGATCCATTGCAGAACATCTTCGTGATGAACAATATCCACTACATGGTTCAGAAAGTGAAGTACTCGGATCTCAAAAGCTTTCTTGGTGATGACTGGATCCAGATTCATAACAGGAAATTTCAGCAGCAAGCTATGAGAGATATGAGAGAGGGCGTCAGGGAATAATGTTCTCTCTTACCTCAGTGATGATGGCTTTTGTGCTGCTGGCGATCCTGCTTCTCGCAAAACTATCAGGGAGAAGATAAAAATTTCAATCTGTCCTTTGAAGAGATTTACCGAGTTCAGACAGCATGGTCTGTCCCCAATAACAAACTTCACGATGATGTCCGAATTTCAGTATCACTGGAACTTGAAAGTTATACAGGCCTATACGACGTTCAGATAAGCTTTCTTCATGGAACACGGCATCGAGATCGTTACCTAAAGTACAGGCCGGTGGACACTTTTGCAAGATCTTTCTGAACGAACTCATAAGGCACTGCAGCATTCTTGTCGAGTGTAAAGCTTAAACCAGTTCTTGAAGATAGTCCCCTCCACCCGATTTTTGGTTTCCTTCTTTGGTTTGTAATGGCACTGTTGAATGAGTATAGTGATGTCCTGTTCTGCCGATAAGTCTTGATGCTTAGCATTCAATGCTAAATTGTGGAAGTACATACAGTATGTTAGATATAGCATTCTACTGTTCCCATAACTTTGGTAACGAAGTGTACTGCTCCCATACGTGTTCCTCTACCACAGCTGAAGGGTTCAGTGAAGAGAATGAAACAAGTTCAGCACACTGTGGATGTTTGGTAGAAAATCCCAACCCAAATTAAATAACTGAATCAAACTCCCAACTCTCCATATCTATTGTATTCTGTACATGCATAATTTAACCCTGCAATTTCCTGCAATTTCAATCAGAGAAACAAGAGAAATGGAAGAACACACAGAATCGAACTATGGCCACCCCTGCTACTTGTTAAGTAATCTGTTGATCTCCTCTGAACGCGAGGCAAGGGCAGGCGCCGAAAGGCTCTCCTGCCGCACTATAACTACAGTAGGGAAAGACGTCGAAAGGCTTCCCTGCCGCACTGTAGCCACAGCAGGGGTAGGCGCCAAAGTCAGCCCCTGCTGCCATATCTAGTCATTGTAGCAGCCTGACATGTCTATGTACTAGGATTAGATGGGTACAATTATATATATATATATATATATATATATATATATATATATATATATATATATATATATATATATATATATATATATATATTTCCACTGCAACTCAGTAAAGAGAGAGATTTTCAGTTTTGCCATCTCTTCTATAGAGCTCTGGCCAACGCTGGTGCTTGTGCTGTGTGTGTGCTCTGTTCTCCCTCCTTCTACCTCTAGCCATAGTGTCTTGTCGGCAACGCCGGTGAGTGGTCGGCTCACCCGAGCCAGTGATCCCAGGGTCAACAAGTGGTTTCAGAGCCATACAAACGCCGTCGCCGGACTAACCGCTGGCGATGACGGACGGTTTGGAAACGGGCGACAGCAGCAGCGCTGCTGTGGCTGCCTAGCCACGATAGTAGGTCGTTGTGCGCACGGTGTGGGAGGTCAACGGCACCAGTTGGCCGACACTGACTCGCACCAACTATAGCGAGTGAGCGGTGACCATGAAGGTCAAGCTCAAAGTCCAACGGCTCTAAAATGTCACTGCAAGGGCACCGACAACGAAGAAGACGACATCTCAGCGTTGGAGGCTATTCTCACTGTTGTGCCAGCGGAGTACAGGGAGCCGTTAGGGACGAAGAGCTCTGCTAAGGAGACGTGGGAGGCGTGGGAGGCCATTGAGGCTATCCTCACTGCTGTGCAAGCAAGTGAATCTCGGTAAAAATCATTGTGTTCATTATTTGATTCTGAGGTGATTGGTCTTCATTGATATTGACTCTTGTGATTGATTGGTTCACTACTCGACATTGCGGTATAACTATCTTGCTCTCTCTCTCTTTATAATATCGCAAACTAGTTGTCAAGCTCTTTAGTGTAGCTAGTTGTGAGAGCTTATTAGTTTGGTTAGTGTGGCTCTTTATTTAGCTTTTGAGGGCGCACTAACTTAGTATAGTGATATAGCTATTGTGTGGATAGAAATCATATAAACTAGAATTGTGGTAGGTGGCTTGCAATTTTAGTAGGCTAGCGCAACACTTGCTTTGCCTCATAATTGTCTAACTAGTTTGTTAAGTGTTGTTGTAGAAATTTTTAATAGGCTATTCACCCCCCTCTAGCCATTAGGACCTTTCAAGTGGTATCGGAGTCGAGGCCACCGTGATTTAAGGCTTAACAACTTTCGGTGTAAAAATGGCTCAAATCAACACCAAAAAGTCACCCCAATTTGATGGCTCAAATTATTCCTATTGGAAAGCTAAGATGACAACTTATATCAAGTCAATCAATATGAAGGTTTGGAAGGTGGTAGAGACAAAGATTGAGATTGAAGATGAAGAGGCTCCCACCGCCACCGAAGAAATGCTACTCCAAAATAATGACATTGCTCTTAGTACCATCCATGATGCTTTGGATGAAAGAACTTTTGAGCAAATCAATAATATTGAGAGAGCTCATGAGGAATGGAAGAAATTGGAGGAATCATTTGAAGGCACTCAAGCCGTGAAGGGTGCAAATGCATATATTCTCAAAGAGAAGTTTGCAAGCTTCAAGATGAAGGAGGATGAGAGTGTGTTGGAGATGTTCCATAGGCTTCAAGTGCTTGTCAATGATCTCAAAGTACTTGGAGAAGAGGTGAAGGACAAGGACTTCTCCCACAAGTTCTTGAGATGTTTGCCTTCAAGATTTGGCACATTGGTCACTATTCTAGTGAGGAGTGGTTTGGACACCATGACACCAAACCAAGTGTTGGGAGACATAATGACCGATGATACATATAGAGATGATGATGAGAAGGAAGAAAAGAAGGAAAAGAAAGAGAAGAAGGATAAGATGACCTTCAAGAAAAAGAAATGTGATTCATATGTGGTCACTTGTGATAGTGATGCTTCCTTAAGTGATGATGATGATAGTGATGATGACAAGACCACCAAGAAGCAGACATTTACAAGCATTGCAATCAATGAGAAGCCTTCTCTCTTCAACACTCCATCATGCTTCATGGCTAAGGCCACTAAGGTACAAATTTGTGATGATGGAAGTGATGAGGAACATGATAATGAAAATGAAAATGAAAGTGATAGTGATGATGATGAACCTACTAAGGATGAACTATATGACATGCTAGAAGATGCTAAAGAACACTTTGACATAAAGAGAAGAGAATGCAAGAGCTTGAATAAGGAGGTAAAATCCCTTAAGCAAGCCCTTAATGAGCTCAAAGCAACTCATAAGAGGCTAGAGGAAGCCCATGAGAAGCTTGGCAAGGCTCATAAAAAGCTTGAAAAGGCTCATTTCTCTTTGTTTGATGAGCAAAATGAAAAAAAGCATGTTGAAACTTGTAATATAGGCTTAACTTGTGATATAATTGATGAATCATTATCTATGCCTATCATTGTTGCTTCCACTAACCTTTCTTGTAGTACTTCTATTTCCACCCCATCTAGTAGTGATGGTTTCACTTATGATGCCTCACTAATGGTTGAAAATGAGAACCTCAAGAAGAAGGTCAACAAGCTCACTCACACTTTGGCTAAGGCCTATGGTGGTGAGGACCGCTTGCTTATGTGCTTAGGTAGCCAAAGAGCTTCTCTGTACAAAGAGGATTGGGCTATACCTCCAAGAAAGGCAAGGCGGCTTTTGCTCCTCACAAGACTAGTTTTGTGAAGCACAATGGTCGGTTTTGCACTAGTTGCAAGCAAGTTGGTCATAAAGAGCATGAATGCAAAAACAAGAGCAAAAATGCTAATGTATCCTCCATTAAGCTTGATTCTTTCTATATGCTTACCAAGGGTACAAATGGTGTGAAGGCTAAGTTCATTGGTAAACCATGGATGGGCTCAAAGAAGAAAGCCATTTGGGTACCAAAGAGCTTAGTGACTAACCTTCAAGGACCCAAATAAATTTGGGTACCTAAAAAGAATTGATTTTCTTTTGTAGGTCAATTATAAAGCCGGAGAAAGACATTGGGTTCTTGATAGTGGGTGCACTCAACACATGACCGGTGATGCAAGAATGTTCAACTCAATCAACATCAATGGCAATGATGGTTATGATAGTATCACATTTTGTGACAATGGCAAAGGCAAGGTCAAAGGGCTTGGTAAAATTGTAATATCCAATGACATGAGCATATCAAATGTGTTGCTAGTAGAGAGCTTGAACTTTAATTTGTTATCCGTGGCTCAATTATGTGATCTTGGATTCAAATACATATTTAGGATAGATGATGTAGAGATCATAAGTGTAGATGGCTCTAACTTGATTTTCAAAGGCTTTATATATGAGAATCTATACTTGGTTGATTTCAATGCTAGTGAAGCTAAATTATCTACATGTTTGTTCACTAAGTCTAGCATGGGTTGGTTATGACATAGAAGGCTTGGTCATGTTGGAATGAAACAATTGAATAGATTGGTTAAACATGACATGGTTAGAGGCTTGAAAGATGTTGTGTTTGAAAATGATAAGCTTTATAGCTCTTGTCAAATCGGCAAATAAGTTGGAAACACCCATTCTAAGAAAAGCATGATGAGCACTAATAAAGCATTTGAGTTATTGCACATAGATTTGTTTGGACCAACACAATACACTAGCATCGGTGGTAATAAATATGGCTTTGTGATAGTAGATGATTATACTAGATACACATGGGTATTCTTTCTAGTGGACAAAAGTGATGTGTTTGCAACATTCAAATCATTTGTCAAGGGCATTCAGAATGAGTTTGAACAACCATCAAGAGAGTTAGAAGTGACAATGATAGTGAGTTCAAGAACACTAGAATTAATGAGTTGTGTGACGAATTTGGAATTAGACATCAATTCTTGGCTAAGTACACTTCACAATCAAATGGCCTTGTTGAGAAAAAGAATAGAACACTCATTGATATGGCAAGGTCTATGCTTAGTGAGTACAATGTGAGTCAATCGTTTTGCGCCAAAGCTATCAACACGGTTTGCTATTGTAGCAACCGCCTCTATTATCACCCATTGAAAGAGAAGACACCATATGAGCTCTTGGATGGTAGAAAG